CTGAGCCCCGTCAGTTCTCCTTCAAACGGCTCTGAACTGGATAAAATGAATGCCAATTAGGACTTGTGGAGGTTAATTAAGAAAAACAAACGGACGCTTCATTCCGCCTCGAGTCGAAGTCGTAAACAAGCAGCCGGTGTTCGTCTTTCGGCGGAGGACTCGCTGTAACAGTGCCCCCGTTTGCTCCGGATGGCGCCCCCTCGCCATCTGCTCGTGGATCCACTGGCGATGGCGCGCGCATCCCAATCGCCACGAGTCGCGTGAAATCAGGGGTGACAGCCATGTACGTGATGCGCACAGGCAACAGGCTCCAAATATCTCGCCGTTGGCCGTCCATATTCTATGCGGGGTGAGTATCACGACCTTGGGGGCAAACGCAGCAAATCTCACCCATATGATGATCTTGAAATCCATCCCTGCGGACAGGAAACCCGAATTGTCGGGGAGCCACGCGAACGCGGTCACCGGCTCCGAATGTTCTTCCAGCGTGCGTATACATACACCCGTCTGAATACCCTATTAGCATTCGCTCGGGGGGCAGGAGCGGGACGCTGCGTACCTTGGCGTTCCACATCTTAATGTGGCCCTCCGACCCGGTGAGTAACATCGTGTCGTCCGGAGACCAAGACAGAGACTGAACACCATAATGATGGTCCAACACATGCCGTTTCTCCCATTCCCGTATCGGCATCTCCGTTTCAGGCTACCAAGTCGCGTCAAATCAATTCCGGTATCCAGAGGACGACGGCGAAACGCACCCCGATCCCCCATATTATGGCCGACTTGTCCTTGCTCGCACTCGCTAGGAAATTACCGTCCCGGCTCCATTCCACTATCCACACCTGGTCGATATGGACCTCTAGTACCGTTGTTGTTACACGCGGGAAACCCGTCTTGTCACACTGGTGATCCGCGAAGAGCGAGAAGCCGGGCGAACTCATCGGTATGTTATGGTACACACACTGCTGCCGCTGGTAGGCATTTGCTTGGTGCAGAAGTGTCGAAAATCGTCGTGGGGGGACCATTATTGATGGGGGAATGTAACCTAAGTAAGGACGTGAGTACGCAGGAAGGAGGTCGTTTATATCGGACGAACGGTGTAGATTATCTAGCAATATTCGTCGCGAATGCCCTGCTGCACCATCCCACCCTGCGCGTTGTCGTAAATCCTCCGGTTCCGAACACATCATTAGGCTGGGCCCGAGTCAGAATTCTGTTGCGTTGGGTGCGAGAACAAGAAATACCTGGAGAGTGCGTGTAGCTGCTCGGAATCCACATCTAGCGGCGCGAGTTCATTGCGAAGAACCTGCAGCGCATCAGTGGTCCTTTGTGCCTCCAGAAGTTCCAGATATTTTTGTTGACTTATCAGAAAGCGCGCGTCCTGCGGACAGTCGAGGAGTTATTAGTAGCTGGCACGCCTTGGGATGCATGGACACGCACCCAAAGCCCTTCACGATCCCGCACGCCCAGACGTTGTAGTGAATTCTCCGCTTTCGACCACCGGGCCTCCAGGATGAACCGCCGGAAGTCGGCGACTTCTGGTGTTTCCATCGCGTACCCCGATTCGGCTTCCAGGGTTGCAGCGCTCTCGCTAATCAAGGGCGCCTTTGATAAGGATATCCGATGAAACAAAGTAGAGGGACGCACATATAGCCGACATCCCGGAGACTCTGTATAACGAGCCTAATGAACTCTTCCCGGTCCACGTCCGAGTCGTCATACAGACTTGAGCCAGGGAGCGTCACGCGCGCGACCGAGAGCGCATGCGAGGCGGCGGACGATTGTTTCGAGTGGCCATTGTGCTTCTGCACGCCATTGCCCGTCGCACTGGCCGCGGGCGCCCCGTTGGGGGCTGCAGCGAAGCCGTTCCCATTCAGATGTCCGTTCGAGGGTCCGGGGTGATCGAGACCGACCGACGACGGGCCCGCGACGGCGTCCTGGGCGGCGGGCGAGGCGTCTGGTTGGTCCGAGTCTGGAAAGCGCATGGTAGTGTAGGTTCGTGAGGAAGAGGGATCGATCGGGGCTGCGCTGGTGGCGGAACTCTGGCTGCCGACACGCTGACGCTTGCGGGCTCGAGGAGGCTCGGGCTCTAGGTTTGGGACAAGTGCTGGGTTAGTCAGGCTATTACTCGGGCAGCTGGGGCACACGGTACCGGAGAGTGCGGGGTCGGAAGTGGGGAAAGTGCTGGAATAGTCGAGCTCTGACCTGGGACGGGTTGTAGGGATGAGAGATGCCACAGCGGGGGATGGCTCCCGCGTTGGAGGCTGGCTACGAGTATCAATTGTGGCGAGAGGGTAAATGGTGGGGGAACAAAACAAAGAGGCTCCGGAACGATCCCTGAACAATTCCGACCTCGTGGATGTATGTAGCCCGCATAATATCAACTTCAAGTTTCTTATTCACGCATAATTCACGGTACAACGATTCAGTCTACGGAGGAGGAGGAGGACAGTCTGGACTCTGTATCCTGCTACAAGTGAGTTCTCAACAAATCATCATTGCGGCCTTTCGGACCGTATCACTGCCTCTTATCATCCACCCGACGGCGAGGCTGACGAGAGGCGGCCGAGTACAAGGGGCGTGGGCATGCACGCGCTGGGGTGGTATCCCGCCGTGCAGCAGAGGCGACTTGGGCAGACGGGAAAGACTGCCAGATCAGATGCTTGAAATAATTGAGTCAGGAGGACCCGGGAGCGAACCATACTCCCAGAACGCACTTGTGAGGCCAGGAGAGGAAACGATTGACGATGAAAGACCGGTAACAAGAAAATTGCGGGGTTGAAACACTTGGGTTACGATCCAGTATATTTGCGAAACAAAGCGAGTCAGGAGATGCACGAATTGAACGTTCAAGTCCGGAGGCAATTCGGGTGGCTTCAGTAGTGCGGCTTTGCTTCGAGACTCTCTTGCTACGGTTGATGAGATAACAAGAGCAACTGACGGACGAGGTGATGGACAAAAGCAGGGCCGCGTTGGTGGCTGTGCCCGTCACTTTGCCTCACCTCGCTCGTCGTTGCGCAATTTCGATTCTCCTTGCGATAGGTTGCTGCCAGAATTTCTGATCCAAGGCTTCCAGAAGCTTTAAGCGAGTATCATGTTATTTCCTGGCCGCGAACTTGCCAAGAGTCCGAATCGTCTACGCCTTGACCACGCGTTGCGGTGCCCTTTATCGACATTAATATTTGCACATCGAAGTCCTAGAACAGACTAGGCCACTGAAATCGCCACCATCTGATTATCTCCCAGGGCTGACATGGCAATATTCTCATGCCAGCTTCCGGTTCTATCCGCACTCTTTCTCGGCGCTTCGAACTTCTATCTACCAGTCGAACAGTTACCGCTTAGTGTCCGTTGTGGAGAAATTTCAAGACCACCGAATTTCCTCCAGAACCCGAGTGATTCACTGTGCGGTGCTCAGCCACGAAACTTGATCATTTTCTTGACGTTTGATTTGGTTCAACCTGGACTCTGTTGCAACTCCGAAGAGAGGTGCTACTCCACCTCGGTATCGCGATCCCCTTCCCTTCTGTGTCCGACCCTATCTTGAGGATGAAGCCACAATTGGTTTGGGGTTCGGACTGAGATCTCGTTAGGACAGCCCTAGAACAAATCCCAGGCACAAATGTCGGCTCTCCGCAAAAACGAAAGGCCTAGTCGTCTGCTGTACCTCCTTTGGGTCGCGCGGCACTTGCCAAGGCCGACATAACATTAAAAAGGTGCCTGTATTGTCTTTTTGTGTATGCCCTTTGCGTCTGAAGGTACCAGAGTTTCGACACTCAATGGCTGAATAGCTCCGGTTGGATATTGTACTGTCCCGGGCCCCTAGAAAAAACTTCTCGCCCTTGCATTTTGCGTCTTTTCGCTTCATGTTGCTTTTATGTGCACAATCAATTTTTCTCTGTTTCACTTACCTCTTGCCTTTGATTCGGACCACCGGAACTGAACTCTTGAAACTCCGTGCAGCATTGATGGACAAGACTCTCGTCGGAACAACCAGCTTGCCAAAAATATACGGGTCCAACCGGAAAGTGAACCCGGCACCAAATTGGGATTTGGTTGGCCAAAGTCGGGCTCTAAAATATCATATTGAAAACCCCACAGCGCGTGAGATCAAGTCCGTAATAACCTCACTACTTTTGCAAGGCCAGTTAATCAATTGGAGGACGCGAAGATGATGAAAAAGGACAAGTGTGAATCCCGACGCAGGTGAAAAATATCGAGGCAGGTAGGTGCATTTCAATGTAAGAGTCTATAAGCCGCGTTTTGGGACCTCTACATGGATCCGTTCGCCCATTATGTAGTGGGCGAAGGTTGGACATTGGTTGAACATCTAAAAGTGCGGGGACCCGGAGTAACACGATGAAATTCTAAAATGCTCAAGGAGATCGAAGCAAAAGTGCTTAAGGGCTGGAATGACTCGATGATAGCTCGAATTCTGGGTGTACCTCTTTTTGGTCCGACAGTAACTTGACCAGTCGCGGGAACGTTGTTGCCACCACCTGGCGACCCTCCTCACTGCATTCCCTGACCACCTACACTTATTTTGATGGGTCTGTGTATATCCAGCCTAGGTGAGCATAGGTGCCTACACAGACCCTGTGTAGCTAAACTAGACAGAGCTACGCTGAGCTATGTTCACCTAGGCTGGATATACACGCACCTAAGCAAATTAAGTGTAGGTGGTCAAGGAATGCAGTGCCTCGTAAAATACCCAAAATAATCAGGTAGGCAGAGGAGCAGGTGCCAAAGGGTTCAAATGACTCTTACTCTGGATCTCGGGCCGTCCGCACTCATTGTGCGGTGACTTGATCGGTGAAGATTAGGAACTTGCAAGTGATCCAAGTACCATGACCATCTTGCGGCGCCTCTCCCACAAGAACCATTGCTCGTAAAATCCCTAAAATAATTAGAGAGCCAGAGTGGATGGTGCTGAGCAGTTGTAAGTAAATGGTCGCAGGGGCGACAGAGAGGACGTAGAAGGGGCGTAAAAGCAAAAATACGGGCCCAACCGGGAATTGAACCCGGGACCACACACATACAAAGGATCATATAATCCCGGGAGAACCCGAAGCGTGTATCATACGTCTAGACCATTGGGCCGGTGAGATCTGCTCCTCATCAAATGAGCTGAGCATCAGAGATATCCATATAACTCCTCCCACTCAAGCTTTTCTCCCCTTCGCGTTGAAGTCCCAAATATTCTACTTGAAGACAGGTGGCTCCTTCGGACGTATAAAAGGGCTCAAGTTGCTGTGTCCCCTGTGCATACCCTGTGGACTGAGTTCCTTTAAGATTCTCAAGATTCAAGAGTCAAAACTGCTGTCTCGGACGAGCTCGGATGGCCACAGCGGCTGAGGGAACCTCAAGTCTCCGATGCAAGCAGCCAAATTTTGAGGCGACAGGTTTCGAAATGGACAGATTCATGAAGACGGCAACGGGACACAAACCGCTTGGATATTGGTCACCGGCCTGTCGCTGAATACTGTCTCTGTAAGCTATTCCGCTGGCAACATATTTCTTACTTGTTTCTTCAATGTTTTTGATTGTGCGCGCTAAATGAATCTATTGAGTGAGTATTGAGCTGCGAGCATAGGCCTCCCATTAGTAAGCACGAGATGGGGTCTTTCTGAATAGAAGCCATAGGTTCTCCACAAAAGCAAGTTAAAGACCCCATCTCAGAAAACGTGTTCTCCACAAAAGAAGTACGACTTGGAGTGGTAATTATTAAACTATTGCGCTTCTCTTACATTTCGCAGGACTTCTCTTCAGTAATCCAAAGATCAATCTGCACAGTGAAGAGCCCCCCAGCTCTCCACAAAAGAAGTATGACTCGGAGTTGTATGTTGACACCACTCCGCTTCTCTTACATGTTCGGAGCGCTGTTTTCCAGTAATCCATTGACCTGCCCGCAGTGTTTGCATGAGTTCTAGCAGGTAGAAGAAAGAGGATGGATCTGCGAGGGGACGTTGGTGCCAAGAGACTGAATTTTCTGCATCGGTTCGGAATGCTCGAGGGACGGAATCCTCCATCATGTCCGGTCCAAAGAAAGGTGGAGACTCAGAATGGACGGCGTGCGTTGCCAACCGGCGAGTGAATGAAGTCCACGTATTGAGTGACAATGAGTCCGCGTAGCCCGCGGTAATTCAGGCCGATATGTTACCTCCGAGTCCGCGGCTGACCGGATCTATACAGATAGAGAAGAATGGCACGCGACTCCAGCTATAAAAGATCAGGAGGAACCGCGACGTAGATTCCTTTACGACTTCCGGAGTTTCCTTTTCAGGGCGTAGGATGAGCGGAGCCTATGAGATTTGCCGTGCCGTGACAGAGACGGAATGGCCTGTCATGTTTTGGCTCGTTGAAACGCACAGCAGGATTCGGGGCAGCTTTGGGAGCTACCGCATTTTCGATGGCCGTTGATGTGACCAAGTTGAAACTGAAAGTGAGCGGACGAGTATCGCGACTTAGATCGTGATTCGGAGCCAGAAGGCGCAAACAGTCGCAGAAATGCGAAGGAGGGGAGGCGAGGTGGCCGAGAGGCCGTTTGGAGGGCGTTCACGTCGTGGTGGAAGTCGGACTGAATCACTGATCGACTGATCGGACTTTCAATTGACGGCAAAGTTAACTTTTCTCTTTCGTTGGAACGCAGCATTCGTGCGTGGATAGCTTCTTGCGCGCGATATCGACCCTGCAGCATTGCAGCATCATTCTCGATGTACCCAAGTCGCCCGGATGCCCTTCGAGCTTCTCCCGCATCCCAACACCGGCAAAAAACTCCGAGTCAGCTATTCCGGTCTCCCCAACGTATCCAGGCCAGCAATGATATCGCTGGGGAACAACTTGGAAACTTCACACAACCCCCGCACTACCAACCAGGAATCTGCCAAGCTGGTTGATACACATTATGATTTTTTGGGGATCACTTCTGCGTCTCGTGCACGCGTCAAGCGCTGTGTACCAGGCCCTCCAAATCTATGCAATCGACAATCTGCCACTTGCGTGATCCACACGCATACGGCGCGCAATCGAGATAAAACTGAAGCCAGCCGACAACTCGCACCCTCGACGGTTTTGTTATAGTGTCCCGGGCCCCCTTCGAGGTCACAATCGGACGTGGAACGTGGAACCCACAGTTTTCGGCCCATCTCCGCCCGGGATATCCACCTCGCTCTCCGGGTTCTGCTCGAAAGCCTCGCTGGTATTATCTCACTCCTCATACTTTCCTGGTTCCCGGGATAGTTACTTAATGCATGCACCACGGATCGCGATACCCCGCTCGATGAAGCCCATGGGCCATTACGTCCGGAATTGGTATCCAACTCTCTTGCTGATATTTTCTGTCTCGACGGTGATTCCCCACACTGATCTTCTCGCCCGGCCGTGCTTCCGATGTCTGGGCAGCTGTCTGGGCCCTCCGAGTCTCTCTCAAGTTCCGCCATCGCCGTCCGGGACTCACCTGACCCGACCCTGTCGCCGATAACGACCACCATTTCGCCGATATTTTATCTATTCAACCCGCAACCTTGGCTCGATACGGCGCTGCCTCGGCGTCGATGTCTTCCCCGCATCCGGCATCTCAACGCGTCCCGGGCCTTCAGTCACTCGCACCCCTTGCGCGAACACGTCTTATTTTGCGTGGCACTCAGTCCTATTTTGCGATCGGCGGCGGCGGAGGTGCGTGGCATGCGCTCCCCGCCGGGGACAGACCGGGACAGACCAAAATTACGCGTGGGCTGTGCGTGGCCATTTATTTAAAGTTTTAACTCTTATCTCTGCGCGTCATGGGCTGGCGATCCGTGTCATAATCGACGTTCCGCGAGGGTTCTCGTGTGCGTTTCGGGCCTGTGCCCCGCTCGGACATGTTCGGCCTGGGATGCGAAAGGACATTTCGCGGCTGTCTCCGGACTACAAGTGTGCAAAATTCAAATTGCTGCGCTGGGCGTTGGTGGCGTCGAGAGCCGGCCGAGGGGGGGCATCCCGATTCCCGACGCATGACCAGTGGCCTGACGTGCCCAGGCGACTCCTGCGCAGTGTATTGCATCAGCGCCATCAAGATCACCGCCGTTCCTGACCTATCTCCTACATATTATGTATAGGAATCCGAAACCCAATCCTTGCTTACGACGAATGCGCAGCAGGTACTCGGTCACGCCCGCCCCCACGCCATACATGCCCAGACCCAAATAAATATGATATCGAATCGCAACGCGCCGGAGCGGATACGGACATAAGTTTGAACGACGAACGGACCGTGTGTTGCGGCATGGGGCCGTGCGTCGGATCCAATGGGCCGCACCATCGCGATGGGATTCCTTACATAGATTCTCAACTCGCGCCGGGATACGAAATCTGGATTCTGAGCGCCCCTCGACGTCGGACCGTGCGTTGCGGGTCGTGCGTCGCGGATGCAATCCAATCTGCCGCCCTGTCGCCTGTCGAATCTGTGCACCGCAATATCCGTACTTGTGTCGCGATCATCCGGACCATTCCTTAATTTCTTAAATTTTCTTGTCCACACCGCTCCTAATTGCGCCGCGCCCAAACGGAGACAAAACACGAGTGTTCGGAGAGGGGGGTCCTCCAATCCGTGTGTCGCGCGACTCGCGCGATTCCCTATCCAGCGCAATATATTATCAGTGCATACGCCATCTTTCCCAATTCCTAAGGCAAATTTTCCTTCCGCACGTCGTCGTCGTCGTCGTCATCAGTGTCGAATTCCGTCTAATTGCGCGCATATACTTAGGAGCGATCATGCCCCCCTTCCAACTTTTTTTCTTTTTTTTTTTTTTTGGTTTTAATTGAATTGATGCCAGTCGACGTCTTTGACCTTGAAGTGTGTTTAATTCGGCATCCGATAGCGCTGAAATCGCACCGTGCGAGCCGAGTTTTTCGCTGCAATCGCACTCGCGCCCGCAATCGGTGGCGCGAACACGCAGAATGGTGGCGACGGACGGGTGTGTGTGCATGTAACATGTGCGCTAAGGCCGAACACCCAGAATTGTGGCGAAACGTCCGCGTCCCTCGGGCCCCGCCCCCGTCCCCGTCCCCCGCCCAAGGAGCCACAACGCCCGGGTGCCACGACTCGGTCACAAAACACACAGATACCTACTAGTAATAAGTATAGTCTATCTATCTGTCAAAAAAAAAAACAAAAGTAAACAAAAATCAGATCTCCGGCGCGCATGGAAAAATGCAGAGCGCCGGCTGCGCCCGCGTCGCATCACGTCGCAATCCGTCCCGAACCCCCCGACGCCCAACCGAATCGGGCGCACGCACTGCCTGATTTGGCCCTCATAGATCTGTTCTTTTAAAAATAAAAAAATAAAATAAATATACTGTTTATTTCGTCCGGCGCACACGTTTGCCCGGGAGTCGGGAACGGGCTGGAGCGGAACGAAAAAGTGCGATAGGAACGCGGTGGCAGGAGGACAAGGCTGAAACGATGGCAGGGATGAGGTGAGGGGGGGGAAAAAGAACAAGAACAAGAACAAGAACAGACGGAAGCGGCGGCTGGCAGAACAAGCGAGCGCGAAGGTGGAAAACGAGGTAGCGCGCGAATAAACGAACAGACGAGGAACGTTCTTGTGCGCACGCAGCGCGCGCGCGTCATAAATCTCCCCGCGCCCGGGGTTCTAGAATTGAATCGAACGAACGAACGCGAGCGCGATGGGAACGTGCCAAGAAGCAAGGTTACTTCCAAACACTCGCCGCGCTTCGTCGCGCCGCCTGAACCAGAACAGAATCAGAACTTCAGAAGGCCAGAACCCAGAACCTCGCAAACAAAGACTCGTCAAGCCAAAAATTCATTTTTTACTTGTACTTAGTTACTTCTTCTGCCTACAACGGTGGTGGGTGGGTGTTTTGAAATCGAATCGAACGGAAAGAAATGGAGCGAGCGGGTGAGTACGATGTGTGTCGGGATAGATATATGCGAGTGCGGGGGGTAAATAGTTGCGGGTGCGGTATCCGATGACGCGGGGGTTATATGCAGCAGACGGGGGTTATATGCGAGACGGGGGATAATACGATGCGCGTGCGGTGCGGCGGCGGGGAATAATACGTGCGGCCCAAGAAGATGTGATGATGATGCGCGACTGAGA